TCCGAACTACTCAAAATTTCCGCTAGCGGTTCTCCAGAACTGGTCAGAACCTGCTGAATACCACCTCTTGCTGAATACCATGCAGCTCTTAAGATAAAGGACTTCCTCATGATTACATGGAGTTTTAATAATTAGTCACATGCCAATCCCAGATTTTAAGACAGAGAGAGGAGGAGCAAATGATACTCAATCTAATGGAGAAGGCAAATTCTTGCTTCTCCTAAAGTTGCCAGGTATTACAGCACTGCTGGAAGAGGAGGACAATTATTATTCCTGGTTCAACTGATATGTGGATGTCAATTAAGTTGAGTGAAGCTTGGCTGCCCCATTAAACATATCCCTCTAACTTCTCTTCAAGTTATTCCTAAATCTTATGACTTCAACACAAAGAAAACTGCACTGAGAAGGGTTATACCTTGGGTTCCAACGATTTCCATGTGCAGATGTGCTAGGCCACTGGCAATTGAAAAGGTCAGCTTAATCATTTCATTAGCTGTCACAGTGTTGCTGTTTAAGTAGTCAAACAAAGAGCCTTGCTCATAATATTCAGTTACAAGCCACAGTTGAGTCCAGGTCCCATTGTCTACGGAGAGAGATTATAAACATTTTTTTAAAAGCATATAGGTTTAATCATTCCAAGATTCAGGAGATTTGCAAAACCTGTTGATTTTTGGTAGGAAAGATTTGGCTGTATAAAACATACTAGAATGGAGTTTCACGTATTAAAGCGTCAATCCTCAATGCTGCTGAGTAAGTCTCCCTGAATGCAGAGGCTGGTTTCCAAATACACAGGCCAGAGGATATTTGCTCCTAGGTCAAAATAAATAAACCACAGGAGGTGATTTATTTAAAGAAACCTCTGGAATTCATCCTACCATAGGACTATATCTTAAGAGCACTTTATAGTCCTCAAATTATGGCATTTGTGTAAAAAAAAACACAAAACAAATATAAGATAACAAGTAGTCTTTGACATGCAATCAGGTCCAACTTTATTTAAATTTAACTGAGAATGGGTACTTTGACCTTGATTAAATTCTTCGCCTCTTTCCTGAACCAATAAGCAATGTCGTTCACTATCCGCCCACTGGAACATTTGCCATACTTCTATTTTCTACATAAGTTATGGCTCCACTAACTTCTGCACATATCTACATTCCCTTCACACTATTTCTTTGACTAGGCAACACTATGCAGCATGCAGAAAAAAGACTAAGAAGCAGTCATCCGAAGACATTAAAGGTGAGCGATAAGAAAAAGAAACACAGCTCTGTTTACCATTTACTACACTATTCATTATACTTCTCCCTATCTTTCGATCCTTGTTCCAGCAGGTCCATATACCCTTTCACACATTTTATTCTTAACCGATTTATGGGTTTAAACCCCCCCCCCATAGCAATAATTCTCTTGAGCAGATTAAAAGGGAACAGAATAATGTCAAGCACAGGAAAGAATTTAAATAAAGATATGCAAAAGCTGCTATTCAGTGAGGACTTAAAATATTCCCAAAGCTACATTGATAGCATCTCTGATTCCTGGAAAAGGAATGAATACCCCCTGCCTGTCATGAGATTGGGGCCGTGGAACTTTTGAGTTGGGTTTTGCACAGATCGGGTTTCCCCCTTGCAGACGGCCAATTTCTCCTTGTCATTTTTATTTCAGTTTGTTTATAATGTTTCGTGTTGAGTGCAGAAACTTAGGTCTATAGAAGCCAAAGCTATGCTAGGCTATATCCCCATATTTGTTTGTATGTTCATTTATTAAAATTGTATATTATTTTCTGTTATTATTGGCATCAAATACAATTTATATATTTTTTTATTTGATTCTTTTAATATATATACCCCTCCTTTCTGGCAGGAATCATACTTTATCTTTCCTTTTTGTTTTTTCTGTTGACATAGATATGGAGATAGCTAATAAAATGAAACACCAGAGTACAGATGGTACAAAGATAAATAAAAATTAATCCTGCTGTTAATTAAGAATTAAAAGCATGATGAAAGACAAATTATTCTGGTATGTGCATCATAGGAATTTCCTTGGGGGGAGGGCGAAAGGCCAGGTTGTAGTACAAAGCTTGCTGTTGGGTTCTCCCTAGCTTTGGGAGATGAACACCCAAATATTAGTACCTTCAACCAAAGAGCAGAGAACTTGACAGCAAACTATGTATGTGTACCATATGACACCTTGCATTAGTCAGCAGCCCAGCTATCTTATTTTATTTTATGAAATTTATATTGCCATCTATTTGCACATGGCGACGCATGGCAGCTTGCAGGAATATAAATACCTCATATATAAAACAATAAAACTAATAAAAGAGAATAATCACATAATAAAATATAATAAAATAATATAATACCCTTCCACCCCAATCATTGCATCAGGCTGCAACCAAGACATGGATAACTGTCACCAAATCCAACCAATTCAAGAAGAGTTGCTGAAACCAGCCAACGTATTTCTTGTCGTGACTGCCACTTACAAACCTTGGGACATTCCAGCTGAGGAATAATTACAGTTTGTGAATCTAGCCTTTGAAAGAGAGTGTAATAAAGGTGGGTTTCTACCAGTTTGCATCGGTTTGTAGTGGTAATTTGGCCTTGGTCTCAGAACTGGCAGCGACCCAGGCTGGCCACGGCCCCGAACTGGCTCCCTGGTCGCTGCTGCCATTGTTGGCATGTTTTTTAGTAGTTTTTCACATTCTTTGTGCATGCGCAGTGAACTGCACATGTGCGCAGCAAACCAGTACCAGTGAAGCATGCTTGAAGCGAACCGGTACCAACCCTGTTAGGAACCCACCACTGGGGTGTAACCCTGTACAAAAACTGGGATTCAGTTTTATAATTGCATCTTTGCCTTGCCTAAATTTAATTTCAGCTCCCTCACCTCGCTTCAATCTATCACCAAGCTTATACAACATTCAAAGATTTCTAGCAACAGCTTCCCTGAAGCTGCATGATCAGGAACAACAGAGCTTGATATCATCAGCTTAATAATGACGCCTTACTCTAAAACTCAGAATGATTTCCCCCATCAATTTCATTAGGATTGATGGGGGAATTGAACAGCACATAAATCAAAATGAAAAACTGGTAGATATTGAAGATCAATGGCCTAGATGTCAAACAGTAGTTTCCTAGCACCACTTTTGGACAAAACCTGACAGAAGGACTACAACTATTGTGAAACAGCGCCCCCTAAGGTCCAACCTTGGCAAAGAATTCAGAGAAAATATCATTGAGGAGAAAGAGGAAAGCTGTAATACAGTACCTACCCATTCCTTGCAGCCAGTTTCTAGTATGCCATTCATCAATGGCCAGAAATGTAATTGAAATAGGTCCAGGTCATAAGTATCATGGTTTCTCAGTTTGTTTTTCAGAAATAGAATGTTTGTGATTTGTTATAACTGTCCAGAGAGATGGGGGAAGAGAGCTTCTTCAACAGAAGCCAAAGTTTCCCTTTTAGGCAGAGTGAAATCCATCCTGCTACCAGGGAAGTACTTAGAATACAATAAAATAACAGAGTTGGAAGGGACCTTGGAGGTCTTCTAGTCCAACCCCCTGCCTAGGCTGGAAACCCTACAACATTTCAGAC